CTATTATTATTACTTATAAAAAATTGCTCTAAGTTCTAAGTTATTATTGTTAAAATTCACTGGATTAAAAGTGACTATGTGGATATATTAATTTCTTTATAGAATTGTTTTTTTCATATTGTTAAATAAAAATAACAGTAAAATTTATTGTTAAAAACTTGAATAATTTTTTAATTTATTGGTTTTTATTTTATTTATACAAGCAAAAATTCTACTGCTTTAGGTTGAGTGATTTTTAATAAAGCATCTCGTAAATGCAATTTAAACGTTACACGTTTTAGTTTTTATTTATTTTAATATGCCATATATTTTTAATTTTTATTATTTATTAGGAGTGTCAGTTTTTGTGTTTTTCCTTTATTTAAAAACTACAATTTTTAGTCATTATAACAAATGTATAATTATGAATGCTGCTTATATTATATGTGAAATAATATAATTTCTTTATATAAAAAATGATTATGCAAAAATGTTTTTATTCGTTTTGTTTTTTTTTGTTTATTGGGTTGGTCAAAATGTACTTTTATTTTACAGTTTTTAATAAAATGTTTTTTTTTCACTATATGCACTCATACAAACTTCTCTTAAAATTGGGCTTAACCATTTATATATAATACAATATTATATACTTGAAAATTTTTTTAAATAAAATATATTCTTTTAAATAAGCTGGAATGAAATATATAATTTATTATTATTATTACTTACTTTTAATATATCTGCATTATATAATATGATGATATATAATACATCTGTTAACAATTAATTTGTTATGAAATGCGATTTTTATTTTAAATTATTTTTTATTTTTCAATCTGTTGTTTCACAAAAACTTACAGAATCGTACGTGACTCCGATGTAAATTCGACTTCAATTTTTTTTGTTTTTTTATTTTTTGTTTTATTTTAAATTGACTTTATAAAAATGTATAAAACATTTTAATATTGTTCATATTTATAAATTCACATAAATTTGATCAGACAACATTCGCCTTAAAGTTCACAGGCACTGAAAATATGTATAAAAACAATAAATTATATCGAACAAGAGAGGTTAAAGCATTTTTATTTCATTGAATTTCTTAAGATTCTACATAGAAAATTTTTTTTCAAATTAAAATAAAATACAATATTTATAAAAAACTTAAAAAATTATTATTATTACTACAATTGTCATAAATAAATTATTTATAAATGTACTGTAACTCACAACTTTCACTTTTATTTATAAGTATGTGGTATAAACGTAACAGTTTAAATGCCTAATAGAGCAAGCACTGTATACAATCCCATTTGGCCTTATGAGCTTTTCGATCTAAATGGTGTCAAAACGAGATTATTTCGCCATATAAATAAAACGTCAAACAAACGATTTCAATTTGTCATTTTGGAATCATTTTTCTAAAATATTGTCGTTCATTCCCAGTATATGTTTTAGTTTCCAAAATGTCATAAATCTGATTGAATTTTTGGCTGCAAAGAAATGATTTAGTATATTAATATATAGTATTTGTGTAATCATTTCAAAGCAAAATTCATATAAGCATCATTTGAAATGTCACTTATTACAGTGTGAATGCATATATTTTGATAAATGCAAATGGAATCATTTCGTGTGCTAGTATGAAAGTATTAAAACTTGCAGGTTTATTATTTATTAAATAATAGTTAATTAGCTAAGAATTAAATACAATAATGTACTTTAAATTTAAATATGCTATTTATTTATTATTTTTTGTAATATTTCCATTGAAATTCTCTTCTATTGAAAAAAAAAATATAATCGACATCCATTTTCCTTTAATCTATTTTGATGCTTAATGATGTTACTTCTTTGTCTCTTAAAATGCTTACGCGATCAATATATTTTCTTTATGTGTGTATATCAGTCATATTAGATATTGACCGTATTATAACGCCTTGGTAAGACTCTAAAATGATAGTTGCAGAAACAACAATAGTATCTTGTAACTAGCAGTACCTTGTAACAAAAATGCAAGAAAATATGCATTGATTGTTTGTGGGAAAAGTCCAAAGATAATATTTAAACATGTCAAATGTGTATTATTAATATTTTTATTAAACAATTTATATTCTCTATATAACATTAATGAGATTTATGCTTTATCATACAAATATGCAGCAGTAATGGCGATAATCAGTAATAGACTTTAGTATGAGACGTTGTTGGTGAATTTGTTTTTTTTTAAATTATGTTATACATATATTATTATACATATGTTATATACACATATTATATACATATATTATAGTTTCTTCCTACTGATTTTTTAATAATTAATTTTTTTGTTTTTAATTAGAAACTTTCCATTTACATTATATATACGTTTATCATGTACATTCTCTCTGGTGTTATTATTAAATTCAAATATACCAGAATGTCTGCCAATATTGCCTCATTCTGTTGGCTACAACTTGTCGCTATACAAGTTTCATCCAATAAAAATGAAAACTATTTTTGTTCTGCGGAACAATCTTTGCAATGACATTTCTTTTATTGTTATCATTTATTTTTGTATATATTATATGTGTGTGTATGTGCTTATAAGAAAATTAATAAAAATTTATTGACGTGAATTCTACAAACTTTTTGTGAGCACTCAATCAGGGTATATAGGATGACGTTTGACTGATCACTCAGTCAAGAGCTGATCACCATTTAGCATTTCTGTATTCTGCTTAAAACAATTACAAGACAATTTCTTTTTGGATGTATTTTTAAAAAATTTATAAATGATTAAGCGTATATGAGTAAAACTTATATGAAAGTTGCCGCTATATGAAAATGAATGTATCTGAAAAAAAACTGAAAATTAACAAATCCGATGAATGGTGAATGGCTAAACTAACAGCAATGGTTGCTACTGGTACATTTATCATTTGCAGCAATTGCCAAATAGTCTAAGTGCAATTAAATTATAGATTTAAATGCCTCTTAATATTTTATATAGTCACAAATTCTATATATAATATTTGAAATTATTTTTTGTTTGTAAATTTAGTACCAGAAATTAGGACTTTAACCTCAATGTGTCTTCAATTGGTTTACATTAGTTCATTTTTGGCAATTCTTCAATGTTTTTATACTCGAATTATAATTTGTTATTGTTTTGTTTGCATCTGTTTGACACTGCGAGAATCTCGAAGAAGGCAAAGGAATCACGTTTGCGGCTGCTGATATGTTTTATTTAACGATTCACATACATATTCCGACAATTTATAGAGCAGCAAACAATTCATGAGTCACCCTGTATTACAACTAACACCATAAAAATACCAGCGGGAAGAAGTTTTGAATCAATTTTTTTGTACTTAATGCTCTGGTCGGTCACGAATATAGAATCAGTTTTCATTGCCAATAGATTATATATGCAAATCTTAATTAACACTACTTGTTTAATACTTTACATTAAATGCATTTTTAATATAGGTAATAATTTTCTTATAATAAAGAGGTTTTTCGAAGAGTAGTAAACTACAACAACAAAAATTCATTTTATATTATTTTAATTAATTGAATTTTTGGCTGACCAATAAGCTCTTTCGAGTATTGCCAATACCCATCATCAGTGGTCTTAGAAATAATTCTTGTGTTTAATTAGTCGTAAATAATTTTTTGAGACTGCAAGTACCAGGAATCGAACTTGTGTCCTGTCAAATTTGAAGTTTAGAGTCAGCGCACCTTAACCAACTGATTCAAAGCCGTACTAGATTTTTGTGATCGCACATTTTTCTGGAGTTTTGTTAATTTGCTGTGAAAGTTTTATCTATTCTTATAATAGCTATTTGTTTATATAATATTAAATTGCTATATACATAATTATATATTTAATATTAAATACTCGTGCAGTGAGTAGGATAACAATAATATGGTAAGAACTCAGATTCAATAAATTCTATTTTACCTAAAATTAACTAATAATGAAGATTGTAAAAAATTTTATATACTTGTAGTTTATGCGTTTGATCTACAAATAGCACGGCAAATCCTTTTTACTCCAGAATAACAATGAACAAAAATCGGAATTTGAAAACACAATGTATACTATAACTTTAGCTAAAGAGTCTAACATGTGAGTCTACGTTTTTAAATTGATAGGACTTGAAGCTTAAGAATTATATATGAGCAGTCAAAGTAATATATATTTTTTGTACCATCGTATTTTTGGTACATATGCAAAATTTAATCAGTGATAATTAATGACTAAATTTACATTGTTAGGCATCGAAAAGCTCGAAATATGCAGCAAATCTAAGGAATATAAGTATTCTTCTTCTCAAATTTAAAAGATTGACTTTATCATGTAGAAGAGTCGCCTGTTTGTGTTAAATCCTGAAACTAAAAAAAAAATAATTTAACATGGATTTAACACTTTTATCAATTATTTAGTATATTTAACACGAATAGTGAGGAACCTTAATATGTTATTAAAAGAGTTTAATTAAGCTTTCTTTCAAAAGCGAATATAAATATTAGAAAAAATTCTGTATAACAGATTTCGTAATAAAAAAAATTATTATAAAAAAATTTTTTATTCATAATAGAGACAGAGAAATGTAACAAATTAAAGAAGAATTAATCGTTAATCTCAAATTAAAAAAGATTTCTAATATAATGTTAAGATACTCCATATAAAGTATTGTATTCGCTTCAACTATTTAATATAAAAATGTTAAAAATGCGCATGTTAAAAATACCATATCTAAAAACTGTATTTTTCATTGAAAAAAGAAAATAAAATTAATTAATTGCCATATAAGATATACTAATTTTAACACTACAATTCTTCTAAATAAAAATTGTTCAAAAATAATGAAAAATTTTAAAAATTCGTTTTATATAGCAGCTGCTAATAATGTTTTTGTTTTGAAATATTTTACTTGCTTATAGTTTTTATTAAATTATATATCATTAACAATTTTATTTAAATAAAAATCTTCTAAAAATAAGTAATTAATAATATAAATAATTGTTTCTAGATGGCAGAACTTATGCATCAAATGAGAGATCCCGCACATACACTAGGTGCTGTTTCTGTTGGTAGTATACCACAGACTTTAGTATCCAATAATGGAACAAATGGTGAACTCTCAATACAGAAAGCACTTATGAGCAGTGGACTGCATTCTACACCAGCCACAAATTTGAAGCTAATTGAAGCTACACGTAACGCTCAACATGATGCTAGTCCTAATTTGGTCTCATCAAAAATGAAATCATCCAAATCATATACACATGGCTTGAGTAGTTCTGCAGGCACGGTATGTTCCTTCACATAACGTTATCAAAATCAATCTCTATAACTATATTTGAAACTGTATTTCTATATTTCAGGTTAATATACCAACGTCTACATCGGCACAAAGTAATTTGTCGTTACTAGCCGATATCTCACCTAATCACACACACTTTTTTGAAGTAATGTATGTCGGTAAGATACGCGTATCACATAAACGTGTACCATTCACTTTCATTGATGATGCTCTGCCAAAGTTTAAAGCTTATGATGCACAAAAAACGCGTTTATTAAATATGGCAACAAATCGCAAATTGTCATTAAATGAAACCGGAATTACTACGTTAGATTTGAAACATGTCACTTTGAAAGAAAACGATGTTGCAGAAGAAGATGAGACAGAAGCAGATGAACCAGATGACAAGGAGAAGAATAAAGAAAATATTAAAAGTCAAGATGTAGTATTACCTAGCTCCGCAGCAAACAGTAGTAGTGAAGAAAATAGCACTTCAACTGGAATTCCAAATAAAGAAAATAAATATCCTAGACGTCTTACACGTGGATTAAGTCAAGGAGAAATGACATTAAAAAAAGAGTATGTATCTTATTTGTCAGTATAAATGATAAATAATTATTTTAAAACTTTTAACACACTTAAAATTGAAAGAATTTGATGTTGAAAACTGTAACTATAACTATAACTGTAGAGAATAGAAGAAGTTTTATTTGGTTACAGAGATGCCCTCTGAAATTAAAAAAAATAAAAAGTTTCAAACAGAATAACTTTGGGCGATAAGACGCTGGTTAAAGAAACGATAATATTTGTATAGAAAGGGGGGATGGGTAATATTTCTTGAAGACAAGTGAAGGTTAGCTTAAGTTTAAACGCTATTAGTGGTAATAAAAATATCAACGCTTGCACTGGCAGATATATATTACCTACTATGATGCCATCCAAAGTTGGAGAGAACCTTACCATTGTTTGGATTATTACTTCATGTCCTGTCTTTGATCTTCAAAATGATACCTTGCATAACCAAAAAGCTTATCTTTGCTATGTTTACCAATCCAATAAAAAAATCTATCTCCTGGACATTAAAGTCGCGTCATCAAAAACATTAAAAATGATTGAAGGACTTTACTTCTCTATATCATAGCACTACAGTGTCTGTTTATTAGAATGTGCTATTGTTGATACATCATGGCAAAAGCAGAAAATCACATTAGCATTCTAGGAAGCATATAAAGTGCAGTTTTGCTGATCTTTAGTTATTTTCCTATTTAATTCAGTGCATTAGTGTTTTTTTACCTCAATTTATTTATAAATACCTTGTTACGATATTTATATTAAGTAATTATATATAAGAATTAATTATATTATTATTATAATGAAATTATTATTAATAATAAAAGTGTTGCTGGTAATAAAAATGTTGAGAACTCCAATTCCTCCTTGGACACTAATGAAACACAACAGAACACAATTAATTTCATAACTGAAGAACAACAAACTACTTCATCAAAAGTGTTAGAGGTACTTAAATCAGAGAAGGAAATACTGCAGCAACAAATTGAACAACAACAACAAAATCAAATGCAACAAACTCAACAATTGCAACAAAACAATTCCCTCTATAAGTGAGTAAGAAAAGTTTTGGAATGTGTCAAGTTCTTGAGTTCAAATCTTTTTATGTTACAACTTCTGCAACCAATTGGAATGATTTAATTCTTATTTAGTATTTAATAATTTTATATATTTTAGTCAATTCCTTATTTCCTGAATGTTATTTTATTATTCTGCTTGCTTTAGTTTTGCACGGATTAAACAATGCATACCACAAAATGCTAATTAGTTTTATAATTTCTTCTTTCTTCATTGTAATTATTAATAAAATTTTATAAATGTTCATTACAGTTTACCAAAGCAGCGCGATCGTGCTGCATCTATAGGCGGCATTCCGACATTTGTAGAACAAAATCGCACGATGGTCTTCCTGGTAGGACGTTCAGATCTACGTTTAATTTCTCCTGATCGTAAGCAAGTGCTACTTTATAAAGACTTTAAAGATGTAGCTAGTTGTGCACAAGGACAGAAAAATGCAGATCATTTTGGCATTATTTGCCGTGAACCTCATAATGATGGTTACATAGGCTATGTTTTTAAATGTCAATCCGATCATGTTTGTGATGACATAGTGGCAGCCATATCACAAGCTTTTGTTACATGTGCAGAACAAAAGAAAAAAGAAGCAACACAAATATTCTCCTGTGAACATTGTCCCATGTTGTGGTATCACAAGCTTTGTGCAGATGTTGAGGGATTAAGTGAAAAAAAAACTCAATCTATGATATTTAGACGTATCGAAACATTAACAGATGAAGAACAAGATATTATTTGGGCCAAATTTTACGGATCTGAGAAAATGAATTCACCTTTGTCTGAGCAGAGCCAGTTTCTTATGATGCTATTGCGTGCACATTGTGAATCGAGACAACAACGTCATGTTCATGACACCGCTGAAAATCGTTCAGAATTTTTAAATCAATACTTAGGTGGCAGTACCATTTTTATGAAAGCGAAACGTTCCTTGACAAATTCATTCGATCATTTGCTAAAGCGCAGAACGTCAAAGGATGATATTGGTGTAGCCCATAATTCAAAAGACCATCATATACGCGAAAGTTCTGCTGAACCGCAAGTAGGCAGAAGTGGGAATGAGACACCACCGGAGGGGATGCGGTCACGCTCAAATACTATTGGCAGTACTTTTACTAAACCCTCAGCAGAGCAACTTAAGAGTCCAATGATGGATATGTAAGTTTTTTATAGAAGTTATTACATATTTTAAATAATTTTTTTATTTATTAATTATATCTTAAGTAACAATCTATATTTGTATAACAGTGAGCAGACTCGTAGCCAGAAGTCGGGTTTGATGAGCTCAATCAATTTTTGAATTAAACCAAAAACCTATATGTACTTAAATATATCAATGCAGATAAAATGCAGTACAGCAAGTAGGGATGTACTAAGACTTTGTATGAACTAAGACTTTGTATGGTGTAAGCCTTTGAAGTTGTTTAAATAAAGTTATGGAACTTATTTTCCGGCAATAAAGTATTTCTTTATTTTTGGCTATTATAACAATCACAACAGCTTGTGTTGATAGATCCTTTATTGTCATTAGATGAAATAAAAATTCTACCAGCAAATGTATTTGACCATGACAGATTGAGTGTCCTTCTCATCACTTCAATTCAATGGAATTCAATTCAAGTTGATTAAGATAAAATAATCAAAAAAAAATCTAGATGATGATTTCGAAAATTTAATAAGTTTTACTGTCTCGAATTAAATTTCTGGCTGAGTCTATCAGTGACATATAGTTTTTATGTTTTTGAAATGAAATTGAATAAATGAACAAATATCTGTTAAATGTTATTTTCTTAAAATGGGTATTGCAGCAATTGATTTCAAATATGTATTTTTGTATAGATTTATAAAAGTTGGCAATAGTCCTAAAGAGGCTGAAACGCATCAAGGTTCATGGCGACAGGCAATTTTAAATAGTGTGGTGACACCATCAAAAATGGATACTAATGCTCAAGCAGAATTTATGTCTCCAATGCGTGTTCGTCGTAAGTATTTTCTCCTAATTTGCGAAATCAATATTAACATTCATTTTCTTTTTTTAAATTTAGCCAACAAATATGGGAAGCGTACTAAGGAGGAGTTACATGAACTTTGGAAAACTGCTTTTCGTCAAACAATTTTATTATTACGCATGGAGAAAGAAAATGCTATGTTAATGGCGCGTCAAAATGAGAACGAATTAAAACGTATTAAATTAGATTATGAAGAAATTGTCCCTTGCGACAAGCAATTAATTGAACGATGGGAATTGATCATTGAAAGAGATTCCATGAAAATTGGTAATAAGAAGGATCCAAAAGTACTTGCCCAAGCCATTAAAAATGGTGTACCACGTTCAAAACGTGGCGATGTTTGGACGTTCCTTGCTGAACAGCATTCCATGAATACTGCACCTGTTGATACAAAGAAATTTCCTAACTTCAACACACCATATCATATGTTATTGAAAAATCTCACCGAACATCAACATGCTATATTTATTGATTTAGGTCGTACGTTTCCAAATCATAAATTTTACAAAGATCCTCTGGGAGTAGGTCAACTATCACTATTTAACTTGTTAAAAGCTTATTCTATATTAGATCCCGAATTAGGCTATTGTCAAGGTTTGGGTTTTATTTGTGGAATCTTACTTCTACATGTAAGTTAGAATATTCAGTTTATGAAATGTTTAATATGTCATATCTGTTCTTTGTTTAGTGTGATGAAGCTGATGCATTTGAATTATTAAAACATCTCATGTTCCGGCGTCAGATGCGTACAAAATATCTACCTGATATGAAGAAATTTCAATTGCAACTTTATCAATTGTCCCGTCTAGTCAAAGATCATTTACCTGAATTGTATGTATGGTTAGATCAAAATGATGTCTCACCAACTCTTTATGCAGCTCCATGGATTTTAACAGTATTTAGTTCTCAATTTCCTCTTGGATTTGTCGCACGAGTATTTGACCTTTTGTTTTTGGAGTCCTCTGAAGTTATATTTAAATTTGCAATTGCTTTGTTAAGCGTTCATAAAAATGAATTGCTAGCTCGCGATAATTTTGAAGAAATAATGGATTACCTAAAGACGGTAGTCCCAAAAATAGACAACAAAACTATGGAAAATATAATGAAATTAGTAAGTTAAAAATATATAAAAACTAGAACATATACTAAAATAGAATTTGTTTTTACAGACTTTCACGCTTGACATAAGTAAACAACTTGCCGAATATAATGTGGAATATAATGTTTTACAAGAGGAGATATCTACTACAAATCATCACTTAGAAATGCTGAACAGAGAGAAATCACAAAATCAGCACTTGGAACAACAGCTACAGGTACGCTTTAATGTACGCATCTCTACACAATTACTAATTAAATTTTTTTTTATAGTTTGCACAGTCTTCTATAGCACAATTGGAAAAAACTCGTTCATCTCAACAAGCTCAAATTACTTCTTTACAATCACAAGTGCAATCTTTAGAACTAACTATACAAAATTTAGGACGATTTGTGGGACAATTAGCTGAAAGTAATATTGAACTTGATCTGCCAGGTGACGTTAGACGTATATTACAGCAATTGGATGATCTTGAACGACAAAGAAAGAAACCTTTGTTTACTGAACGAAAAATTGGCAAGTCTGTTTCTGTAAACAGTCATTTGGGGTTTCCACTAAAAGTTTTAGAAGAGTTGAACGAAAAAGACGAACATGGTTCGCCACAAAAGAAGAAGGAGAAGACACCTTTTTTTGAGAACACGTATGAACATTTGCGACAACAGCGATCTCTCGGTAGTAATGCAATGCTCTTATTGCAAAATATTAATGATGCCAGTGTCCATGAAACAACATCACCTACCAAACAGAATTCCATTAAAGCTCAGCAACAACAGCGACCTAATCGTCTATTAGATACTACATCAAGTCCAATTGAAATGCAAACAAAATTAGATGATTTAAAACTACCCGAAAATGTGGACAAATTCATTTCCAGTATGAAAACTCCGATAGAAGTAGATAGTGGCATTGGTACACCAATGAGTCCGCCAAGTACAAGTAGTAATAGTAGTTCAGGCAGCAACAACAGCACATCAACTGGTCATAACAATACTGGTGGCATATTTAGTCGAATGGGTTATAAAACAACACCAATAGCACTATCACCATTGGCAAATCGTGCGTTTATACCTAATATCACACCACCAGTTACTGATGCCATAATTATAAATACCGATATAAAACCAACAGTACCAGAAGTAATACCAATAAAAAATGATACGAATCCACTTGAAATGCATCCCTTGAGTATGGTTGGTGAAGTGAATGTAAAATTTAATGGAACAACGCAACTTAAATCTATACGACCTGGACATCACATGAGACCCATAGCGCTAAGCTCCATTAAAACTTCATCTACCGAAAGTGATCCAGGCGCTACTCCCACCACTGTTAGTGGTCGAAGCTAACGGTTTCGATTCATAGCAAAATTCTTACGTAGCTTATATTGAATTAAATATGAGTTCTACAACTTAAAAAAACAAAGAGTATTCTGCATGCAATTGCTCATTACAGCGCTTCTTAAGATAAGCTTAAATTTTTAATTACTATTCCGCCAACAAAAAATTTTTAAATAACACTCGGTTTTGAAGTACTAAAAATATATATAAATAAATATATAAACAAAAATTAATACGCAGATCATTGAAAATATTTTATATAAATATTTATTAATAATTTTCAACAAAAATGAGTTTTCGCTATGATTGCGTAAAACATAATACCGCACAACTGTTGCCATTTATAATTAATGAAATAAAAGTTTTGTTAAAAATATATTTTAAGTATAAGAAATTTATGCAAATATTGCAAATCTAATCAAAAGCAAACTTTTAAATATAATAGTATAAACTTATAGTTTAGTTGAACGTGATTTTTAATTTTTAAGATATGTTTTAAGAAATCATGAAGGCGTCGTACATGATTCGGTTAAATTTTTTTTGTTCCATTTAATCTACGAAATTTTTAATTTAAACGTAATTATATAGAAACTGCATAGCAAATTTATTTAAATTTATATATAAATAAGAATCAAAAAAAAAATATTTAAAACAGTTATTGAATTATTTTATTAATAAAACTATTAATTTTCATTAAATTTTGTTTCGAATAGATTGTTTATATGAGCAATAAATATTTTTTTAATTATTGTAAAAACATTCATACAATCCCTTTCCATTAATTTATTATAATATTTCAAAAAAATTCGTCATATATCTTGTGTAAATTATTTTCAGATTGCTTAAAAGAAGATATTAAAAGAAATATATCAATAACAAATGTCATTTTTCTATATTCCAAAATAAAATTATTTTTCTGTTATATACAATATATAATACATATATAATATAATATATAAGCGAATATTTGTACAATAATCTGATTATTATTTAGCAAGGTGGTGTCATGAGTATAATTGGCGCTTCCCGGTAAACATATATTAATGTTATATATAAAATAAACTTGCCTTAGGAACCATTGGCACTCTTGCTTACATCTCCAATTGCTAAGCCGCTTATTCGGCACATTTCAAATTTTTATACCAATATTTATAATTAATTATGTATCGCCATTTGACAAAATTAAATAAAATAAATTTTTCTACATTTTTATTTAAAAAAAATTTTATTTTTATGCAGTTTCTATTTTATTTTATTATTATATACGCAATTTACGTAGCTTTATAGAAATGTACTTAAGAATTTAGTAAAATTTAATTGTTTAAATCATTAATCTAATTGTAAGATAATAATTAGAAATAATTATTTATTTTTATTTTTCAGTTTTTTTATTCATTTATTTATTTGATTTTTTTTCCACAATATTTTTTAACATTATATGTTTGTTTTCAAAAATTGAGTAAAAAAAACATGTAAATTATGTTACACTTACTAATGGTAAGAAAGATTTTAAGAGAATTGTGTAACAAATTTAACAATTCGTAAAATATAATGTTTAAAGGTATTTATATAAATAAAAATTGATTTAAATGCTTATTTGTTAAATTTATATGCTTGTGACAAATGTATGAATCCTTGTGTAGTTGATTGAGACAAATGCTAACTCATTAAATATTATTGTAATAATTATAATAAAGCAAATATATAATTGCAATAAAAATTATTTAACCAAAATAAAATCTACTTTTTTTTATTTAAAAATGATATACATTATAACAAACAAATTTTTTATATATATAATTTTATACTGTTTTTATATATTGTTTAATAAGTTCCCGAACAAAAATGAAAAAAATAATTTTTTATTGTAAAAATGACTGTTTTTCAGTATAATCTTACTTAACTTAACTTTAACTGTTATAATTTTTCTATTCCAACTATGTTATCGGGAAAATGTTAAAAATACTCCACCATAGAAGCTATAACGTATGTGTTTGATGAAAAATTTTTCAATTAAAGAATTTTTTGAGAAGTAAGAAAAGCCAGAAGTCAAAAGGTTCTAAATTTGATTAACAGTTGTTTATTTTAAGAAACCTTACTTTAATTCACTCAATTTTGTGATGGTGGCTCGAACTGTGTAAAAACGTGCATTCTTTTAAAGGAAAATTAGTTTCCTCTTCAATGCAGTAAATTTTTTTACCAACCAACGATAGTGAGAAAATAATTATATGAAAGGAAATAAGTATTGTGAGAGGGGTATCAATTATTTCTTTCCCATATCTTAGCACAGGATTATTGCCAAAACAGTAAGATTGACTAATAGTTCAATTGGGTATGATTTTACAAATAAGTTTTTTTTTCATAAGTATGCCTAAGTATATAATTTTTATGCAGCCAACGAAGGAGTGGGGGACGGCACGAAATAAAATTATATTGTATAATATCGGGATAGATCAGGAATTTTGCACGTCAATAAAATCAATTAGGCATTGTTTTGCAGTGTTGACTAATAAATCAAATTAGGCACAATTTTACAGTGTGGTCATATTTCTTAAGTGTTACTATTTAGTTACACTTAATGTGACAATACCATCGACATTAAAAAGTTTTTCGGCTGTAAAACTTGATATACTATAAGTTAAATAGATGCAAAAGCAGGGATGTTTAAATACAGCAAGAAAGAATTTTTTTTTACTAAATAATTTCATTCCACACTATAGAAGTTAACATGTGAAGAATTGGCTTAAATTTCACAGAACTGAGTTGAAATTGTGTGACACCATTTTCTATATGCTTGATAATGTAGCATAGTCTTATGTGCAAAATTTATGTTCTGATTTGAAAAAAGGATGTATAGGTATATATTGTTAACTAATTAACCGTAATTTCTTACGTAAAAAACTTAAGGGAAGCGTTTAGAAATAAAGAGTATTAAGTTATTGCTGTTGTTTTTATTGTATTTGGACATTTGAAGAAAGTGGTATTTGGACATTTGAAAAGTTTAGTAGGTCACAATGCTTTTGACATTTAGTCTTTTGTAGTTAGTATAAACTGATTGTTTTAAATTTTCAATCTGTGGTAATAGTTCTTGATACTCGCTATGTGGTAATAGTTCTTGATACTTGATATACTTGATAATAGAAGATATAATATATTCATCTCGATTTTGAATTATTTGGAAACACAACGACTTGAAGTGGCGCTTTTTAAAAAACCTATATTTCTGTTAATGACAGATTTTACTAACACAATAGGACTTATAAGTTAATTACGTTTTTAATGGGGAATGATAGTCATTATACGTAATTTAAACTGAAATAACAGCTTTCTGCCTATTAATAACTAAATAATAATTGCATACTCGTAACACTCAGGTTATATATTAAAAAAACTACTGGAGGCTATCTACAAATGTGCATATTGATTTTAATTATCATACATAGTTACTTTATTTAATAAAATTAAAATAATCAAAAGGTTTAATTTTTTCAGCTATATTAGGATTTAAATATTATTTTGATATGAATGAAAAAAAAAATAAAACCCATTTCTTTCTCCATTTCGCGTTAAATAAAAACGTGCCAATTTAAGGGAAAACCTTTGAGTTTCTCACAAAAAAAGATGAAAATCGCTGGGGTTGCACACTTTTCATTGCATTCGTGTCTTGTTTACTTTTGAACGTAACTCACTGTACAATCGATAGCGATTTATAGAACAATAGATGATCTTCCTGGGTATTTGATTGCTTTAGTACTAAAAGTAATTTCACTCTTTGAGGTTAATAATTATATTCCTTCTTTTTTTTCTTTTCGTATTTTTTTAAAGAATTTTTTAAAAAGAAATGACATCATTAGACGTGACATTTTCTTCTTTTTTAATAGGGATGTTTTTAATTTTTACTCTACGGCTATACAAGTTTCGTCTTTTGAAAATCCGAGTTTTATGACCGACATATGGTAACTCGTATATTCGACACAAATCCTTTAAAAGGATTCCGTTTAAAATTATAAATGAAACGAAATAATAATGAAGCAATAAATACTCTATTAAGTAAAATATGGTAGATGGGTAGAATTGATCTTATATCTAAATCGAAAGCATCATAACTGATGATGAGACATGGGTCTATGAATTTGACATACCCACCAAACAACAATCGACCGAATGGTGCTTCGAAACTGAGCCGAAACCAAAAAGAAAACGCCAAAGTCGGTCCAAAATAAGGTTATGCTGACTGTTTTCTTCGGTATTCGTGGTTTCGTGGTGTGGTGCACTATGAATTCCTTCCGGACGGTCAATAAGGAGTATTATTTTGCCGTTATGCGTCGTTTGCGTGAGGCCTTTCGCAAAAAGAGGCCAGATTTATGGAAGGAAAACTAATGGATTTTACACCACGATAACGCACCGGCTCACACAGAGTTGGTTGTGTCGCAGTTTTTGGCCAAAAACTCCACCAATGTCATCAACCAAGCACCATACTCTCCAGATATGGCCCCGTATGACTTTATCCTCTTCCCCCGACTCAAATTGCAATTGCGAGGAACGCATTTTGAGACCGTAGAGGCCATAAAAGAGAATTCGCTGTGTGAACTAAAGACCATACCTTCGGCGGTCTATAAATCTTGTATGGAAAATTGGATCAAGCGTTGGCATGCATGTATTGCCGCAGGAGGAGAATACTTTGAAGGCGATAATAAAGAAAATTATTAAAAATTAAAATTTTACGTTTTTTTTACCATCTTGTTCTTTTTTGATCAAATGGTAAGAATTACTGGGAAAACAATTGTAAGGAATTACTATAATTTCTAAAAATAATATTTATCCTCCTTGCAGTACGTATCCTATAAAGACCTGTTTTTATTTTTTTATAATACAACTTCAATTTGTAAAAATTAATAAGTCAAATGATACTATTGTATAAATTGATTGGTTTTATTACAAATGAAAAGAATACAAATAAACAAAAATTGAGTTTGTGCCAAACAAATCAGTAAAAATGACTTTAGTTTATCCTATAGTTTATAATTTTTTATATATTGTCACATATGTTAACCAAGAAGGACACCAGATGCAATAAATACGGAAAAATTGAGTCAGCAACATTTTATTTAAATCAATATTTTAAAGTGATATTTGTTACCGTAACATTTCTAATAGGATCATTTGAAGTCTAAACATTGTTGAAGCAT